TTATTCCAGGTGAAAGATTTCCTGGGAAAAAAAAGAAAGTAGAATTACTGAATTTGTGACATTAACAAAGTTATAATGTAGAACAGAAAGTACAATAAAATCAAACAGAACAGAATAGGATGCCACATAATCTGCTACAATAGAAAATGATCATTCGCTCTGCTCTTTGTCTCCCCTTCCCATACAGTTCCATAGGCGTAACATGTTATGGATGTAATCTGTAAGAGGATTCTCTCTGCTTGGTATCATGGTACATGTTAATTTCAGCTCTTTATGTTCCTTATTGAAACAGACCCAAGATCTCTCGGGCCAGCCAGCCAGCCAGCCAGCCAGCCAACCAGCCAGCCAGCCAACCGTCATCAATTCACCCCTAATCTCTCCCCCCAGTCCTTTTATAGCTAATCCATTGTGCGGGTCATTGTCATCTGATCATGTGTGACTCTGGCTGCTCTATAGCTGGTGCCTGGCAGCGTAGCGTTGACTTTTGACATTCATCTGCAGGAAGATATGGAACGTTTCTTAATTTCAAGAAATGTCTCAAATCACATCCAACTTTGAGTTTGAGAGGCTGAGATGAAGATGGCCGAAGTGTGGGTGGGATATTGGAGACCGCCAACAAAATAATGAGGAAAAAAGCATAGTATTTGTCATGCCAGAGGTTAACTCGGCTCCTTCACAGAATTAATTACCATTCTGATTAACAGTAATCTAATAAAAACTGTTGGACATCATGAATCAGGTAGTGAATCACGTTTTTTGGGATACATTTTATTTTATGTGCATATGAATATCAGCATATCCTTTGAACAGGGTGTTGTGTATTCCAGTTTTACAAACACAGCATAGTGGATATGAGCATGTCCGCTAAGGTTAGGTTAACAGGTGTTTCACATCATCTTCAACTGAATTCAAAATATTGAAATATCTCTAAATCTTCTTCATTTCAAATCTAATAAAACAAATCGTATTAAACAAAAGAACAGCAATTTTTTTGTGTACACTTATCAAATACATGTAATGTATGTTTTTGGTCACTTCATACTGAGATAGATAAAGCACAAGAAGTCCATCAGAGTACAAAAGAAGCATCGCGTACTATCCAACGCTGTACGTGCACCTCAAGGCAGCTCAGCAAATGTGACGTGACACCCAGTGATGGTGTGATCATTCCTGGATAGCTCGTGAACTTTACAGCCATAACGATCCCACCCACACCCCACCTTCTGCCTCTTTGTCCCGCTCTGAGCTCACCCCATGACTGTATGCTCCTCATCCCAGGACGAGAGGCTGCAGCCACAAATGGCGCATATCATGTCTTCATCATCTTTCAAAACTTCCACTGCGGCCTCCAGCATCAGAGGACCCCCTTGCTTTTCCTGCCTGCCTCCCCACCATCGCCTCACTCCTCCCTCACCCCTGCCAGGCCCCTGGTCGATCTGTCTATCTGCCCCTGCACTGACTCCTCATTAACACATGAATGAGGACAAGGAAGGGCCTGCTAAGGCTTGGACGCCAACAGAAGGCAGCGGATTTGCAATTCAAACCTTCTGACCGACCCCCTCCCACCCCCCCACCTCCTCCTCCCGGCCCTGCATACTGGGACTGGAACTGTCACCAGTATGATTGAGGATGCATACGAGGAGGGAGAGAGGGACAGAGAGAGAGACAGATGTGCATTCACACACTCATGTCAGGCCTCTGCACACTTTCATATTGACATACACAATGCAAATACATGCAGACATGCACAAGGCATGTGAGAGAGAGTGCTGCATACTAATGACTTTCCAATATAATGATTTTCTAAATTAACATCAAGTTCAAGGGAATACCAGTTCATAAATGGGGGCACCGTCACACAGAATCAGTTACAGAGATGCTTACTGTTCCCAGAGTGCAAACTAAACACGGAGACGCAGCATTATACTGCAGTTCAAGTTCAAAAAGGCAGGTGTATAACTGAAAGTGTAAAAATTTAAATATTGTAACTAAAAAGAAAGAAACAATTCTCTGTGCTTTCATTGTGAATCATATAAATCATACACCTTGTAAAATATGCTTCAGCAATACTGCCCTTAAATATGGTCACGCGAAGAAAGAAAGAGGTGGACAATATCAATTTCATAACAATATGTCTTTTTACAAAATAATATTATTTTCTAAAAATATTATAAGATTGCTTTCAGTTTGCTGATTATATCAATTCATTTTTAAACACAAAACTGTCCATACCAGAGTTACATATACAAAGTAAAAAGAAAAAGTATAGATAAAAAATATAAATTTATTTTTAAAAATCGTTTGAATTACCTTCTTATTCTTAATGTTTCTTATCGGTTTGCCATATTGACGCAGTTCTTGATAAAAATGTCCAAAATTTGTTTTGATGTCGATTAAACATTAATGTATTCTTTTGTATGGAAAAATTGCATTCAATACGTCACTTCCGGCTTACCCTCCCCACTACTTCCTGCATGTGCCGACAATATGGCAGCGCCCGTAGCGATTCACCTGGAGTTTGGGTAGGCGAATATAAAGCTCTTTATGATAATCTCGTACTCCAGTTGTGTTGTTCTGTGAGCAGTTTTGCGGAAACAAGCGGCTGAATAACCTTTGTATCCGTTTATTTATACATCGTCAGCCTTCGCTTACTGAAACAAGACCTCGCATCAGTGTAACAGCTAAGTTAGCTGCCTGCTAGTTTTGAGTTTGTTTATGAAATATTCACCATCGTGGAGTCGCGTTTTCTCTGTAAATTGACAGGAATAGAGAGAAGTTGTGTCCGTGACGTTATCGCACACTCAATCACGACGCACGAGCACACACTCGGTCGGCTCGTGGTTCCTCTTGCAGCTCAGCCAGATGTGCAGAAGTCTGCCTTTCAAAACATGCCAAGAATTTCTGAGCACAAGCTTGAATGAGCTGCAAAACTAAAGGAAAAGCAGCACCAATCAACATATAGAGCTTAGCCTCAAGTCAGACCTGCTTCACTAAAGTGAGGACTTTGGGTTTAATTTACTATTACTTGTTACTATTGTGAGTATTGCCTTACTTTAGACTTCTCAACAAAACAATAAATATGACAGCAACAGACTTCAGTACATGAGTGGGGATAAGTATAAAGTACACTGTCATGCTATATGTAATTTAAGAATAGGAAAATTAAAATCAATGTTGTGTGTATATGTGTATATATATATATTTTAGAGGTCTCATAGCTCCCTGTTGTTAGCTAGAAAGGAGCTGACATGTTACAGTAATTGATAGGAAGGTCTTAGCCGGTGAACCACAGGTCAGACGACCATGCAGAAATGTGACATTGTCTAATAACAAGCATGCGATGTGACGAATGTGGGAATAAAAACGATTTTAGGACTTTGTCATTATTTTCCAAAATTACCATCTCTTCAAAGTGCTTGCATCCCAGTAAGTCATATGGACAAGTGTGTCAGATCTGTGCCTGTGAAAGCACCAAACAAATCGTACACACTGTCGATCACTTGCACTCTTTTTCTATTAACATTTTGCGGCTACGGTTCTTTTAATGCCCAGAGTTTCCTCACTGAGACACACTTGGCATACAGAACCTTTATCTTTGAAAACCTGGGGATGAATGGGTTTAATCCTGCCACCTGTTTGATCTCTTCAATGTACGTTCTTTATCTGTAAAGGTGTGTTACACCTGTATTAAACAGCAAAAGACAACCATATGTTTACTCTCAGCTTAGCAGACCTCATGACATGTTTGTCCTGTGTAGAGTATTTAAATACCACATACACACACACTTAATTAGCCTATCTGACTCTTGTTTGTTTGTTTTTTTGTCTAGTGGTGGAGCGGAGCTGCTTTTTAATGGTGTGAAGGAACATCATGTGACTCTTCCGAGCCAATCCGAACCTTGTGAGTATCACCATGTCCGAATGAGAGCCTCATTGTTTTTAGCTGTATTACGAAGTGATGTTGATGATAAATGAACTAAATTAGAATTAGATATGAGGTTTCAGTGTGATGAATTACATATTTACAGGTTTACAGCCTCGCCAAGTTGACTTGCATAATATATTAAAAATCAATGGAAGCCAATGGCTTCCAGGCAGTTAGGATGGTTTGAGGAGAAACTTAAAGACTCCTTAATTAATGACATCTCTGTCCTTTACCTGATGCTGGTGTGCAGGATTCTTTGGTTTGTGATCTAGTACACCTCAGTGAGGCTTTTAGGTCTGTTACTTAAAGTTTGGAAATGTTTAGCGGCCATTTAAAGAGAGGTCACATAAAAATGCGAAGCCCTCAGTGTGGTCCTGATTTCACATAAAACATTTTTTTTTTAATTATAAGAAAACAATTCTTTTTACTTCATAATGGCCAAACATGTTATTTATTTAACCTTTAACCAGGAAGTCTTTTGAGATGCATCATTTTCTTTGACACATCTGTCATTGATATATGAACAATATGGAAATGAATTTATATTAGTATTTGTTGAGGGAAGATGGGGACATATGTTGTGATTCGTGACTAGTATATTAAAACCAATGTAAACAAACCATATATAGCATCTTTCCCTTTGCACACAACTTCTTCCATGATCCTCCTGTTGCTTTCCCTTCTCTCTCTCTCTCTTTGCTTCCATCCTCATGAATGGATCCTTTCACTTGTGAATGTTGCCCACTGTTAATGCAGATGTTTGTGTGTATGTGAATGGAGGTAGGAAAGGGGGCAAAAAGGGGAAGTCTATGTTTTTCTGTTGGTTGCAAAAGTGACAGTATAGGGTGACAGCTTTTTTTTTTTTTGGTCAAGATCATTTTGGCTGACTTGGCATGTTTCTCAGTTCATAAAAACTTTCCTACCTGAGGATCCAAATTGATTAGATTTTGTTTTGCTGTGGGATTCGGGCTCTTTCCAATATGGGTCACTAGCTCACATGAAGGAGTTGAGGGACAACCGGCCCGCAGCCCGACTTTATTTCCCAAACCCTGCTCAGGACCCGGGTCACTGAGGAAATGAGGAGGCAAGTGAATGGAAGTTGCCTAGAGGTTGAAGTGTGTGTGTGTGTGTGTGTGTGTGTGTGTGTGTGTGTGTGTGTGTGTGTGTGTGTGTGTGTGTGTTACAGAGAGAGGGAACAAATGAGAGAAATATGTGTCTTTGGTATTTAACGAAACAAAGGGTGTTCATCCATGGCGCTGATGTTACCACGACAACAAAAAGACAAAAGTTGACCAGAACAGGGAATGTCAGTCAGATATGACCTTGCTGCACCAGCGGACCTGTGTGTGTGTGTGTGTGTGTGTCTGTGTGAGGTTTCACCATGTTGTGCACAGTTCATAATTTCAGCTTCACAGGAGCACAGACATAACCTTTCTTGGACGTATTTTGCTCATTATGATCTTAGGTCTGAACTGGTTGTGTGTCTGGCAGGTTTGCTGATCCTGAAAATGTCTCTCCGAACTAATTTTGCCCCACACAACTGTGTGTGTGTGTGTGTGTGTGTGTGTGTGTGTGTGTGTGTGTGTGTGTGTGTGTGTGTTAGTACAGAAGGGGTGAAGGCAGATATAATTGGTTCTGAATCCTTCGTATTTCTCTTTGACCCCAGCCGGTGATTGATGACCCTCAACTGAAAGACCCCACCCCCACTCTCTCGCTCTCTCTCTCTCTCTCTCTCTCTCTCTAACTCTCTCTCTCTCTAACTCCCTCTCTCCCACACACACACACACACACACACACCAAAACCCCTGTGGTCTGAGGATCACACAGTTTTTGCCCCTCGCATCAGCAGAAAGATGGATAGCTCATCCCCCCTCACATGACAGTCATAATCGCACAAAGACAGAAAAGAAGAAGAAGGGGGGGGGGGGGGGGGGAACTGCATGCACAAAAGAAAAGCGACCACGGTTTTGAATCTGCGTCAAAATGGCGCCCTTTCCCTCCCTCCCTGTCTCCTCTCTACCCATGCAACGCAGCTATCCCAAGATGCTTCAGGAGCCTGTGACGCATTTTCCCTCTCTTGTCTGTTTGTTCCCTCGTTTTCTCCCCCCCCCTCTACCTGGACCGCACAGCGCTTTCAAAAACCTTTCCCTCCCAGTCGCTCCACGTCATTGTTCTTTCCTTTCACCTCTCTTAACTCCTTATTCCTTTACATTGTCCTCTATTTTTAAAACGTGAGGTGAATTGGTTGCCCTATGTGTAACCCTTTACCTTTTAACAGAAAGCCATTAAAAGAGCATCGCCGTGATGACTGTTTCTGTTATAAAAAAGCTGTCTGAATTATTATTGATCCGTGTATTGAGCTAAGACCTATCTATTGACTATGTGTGCAACTTTTAACATGTTTGCTTGTGTGTGTCGAGGGACGGAAATAGAAATACAGGCTAAAGATGGAAACAGATGAAGGAGAGAGAGAGGAGGAGAGCAGGTTTTACGAGAGAGGGAGAGAGAGAGAGAGAGAGAGAGAGAGAGAGCAAATCAAAAAGTAAATGGGCGAGGGGATGAAAGAGTGAATAAGGGGTAATGGTGGAGAAAAATTACCAATGGTTAAAAGCAGAGAGGGAGCAAAAAAAGGAGTCACCACAAAGAAGGAGTTATGACTGCTGTAGTGATTAGTTCTGTTTTTAGCCCCGCAGAGGTGCAGGTCAATATTCACTGCCTACTCTGGTGTGTGTGTGTGTGTGTGTGTGTGTGTGTGTGTGTGTGTGTGTGTGTGTGTGTGTGTGCGCGCTGCAGGGAGAAGTAGTTGTCTTTTTTTTATATGGAGGCCTGGAACTAGCACTATCATTATACTACTGAGCTGGCTGAAAGCACTGCAATTAACCTGAGCACCACTCTCACACACACACACACACACACACACACACACACACCTTATACATCACATATCATCCACACAGGGAGTTGCCCTCATCAGTGACCAGGCAGGTGTCTCTATAAATATATTTGTCACAAGCCAAATGCTTCAGTAGGCCTTTTGATATTTATTTTATGCGTTTTTTACGTTTTTCTTAGTTTGTATTTCATTTGATTACATCTTGTGGTTATTTGTATTAAAACCCTTTATCAGCAAGCACTGCAATTTCTGTTGTTTTATGGCTGAATAAATGAAACCTTGAACTTTAAAAGACGACTCCTCCACAGAAGAGACATTTTCTTTAGATATGTGGTTTAATAATTTCATAATCTGAAGAAGCAGGTATGTTGGTGGGTTTCAGGCACCAGAATGTCTCAGTGAGTTTAGCCTGCATTTTATATCTAACATAATCATTTATTGAAAGTAAACAAAAAAAAATCCAAATTTGGCTACACCTGTGAATGTACCTGAATGTATTTCATGTAAAAGCTGCTGTGGTCTTTGCACAGTTTTGTGATATTAGCTCTGTCTTTGATCCAGCTGATCCTGGATCCCCGTGTGACTTGGCTCCTACCTGCTACGGCCTCGGCGCTCTCCTTCCACCTGGCTTTGGGATGACTCGCTGTCGTCCTCTTACCCTCGTATCTGCTCCATCTGCTGCCTCGCTCGTTTTATTTCCCTCTCTTGTAATCTCTCTCTCTCTCTTCTGTTTATTTACTCTCTCCTCATATATTTCCATACCTCTCGTCTGTTCTTTTTCGTTCCTGTGTAAACTGGTCAAGGAGGCCGATACTGTTCATTTTGATGGTGTGTGTGTGTGTGTGTGAGTGTGTGTGATATGGCTACCAGAAATTGCAGTGCTGTTCTCAAGTGTTATCGCGAGGCGTCATATACATCGAGAAGACAGCTGTGATCATACACACTCGAAAACAGGAAATGGTCACAAGAAAATATTAGATTTAGTGTGTTTGTGTCCATAATGTTACAATGTTTCCTTACATTTCTTTAAAGAAACACACCAAGCACTAACACACACACACTCAAAAGCTCTCAGACCACCTTGAATCTTGATGCGAACGACAGCCATTACTCTAATATATTCATTGTTGGTAGTTTTGCGGGGATTTATCCTAAAACCTCTCATTGTCGTCGCCTTTGTGGCTTTCTGTCAGTCGGTCTGAGTGAGGCTCAGCCTATTGTTGAGACGAGGTCAATCTGATTGTTCAAGAGGTCAGACTCATAGACTCATCAAGCATTGGCTGATATCCAATCTCAGGCGAGAATTTAATGTTCCAATCAAACAAAGAAAATTATCATTCTAATATCGGCTTTTCGGATTATTTTATTTGTCCTGCGTTGAAAAAACTTCACAAGTGTGATGCTGCAGAGGAATATTATTGCATTTATATTTTTTTAAAGAAGTAGATGCTTTTGGAAAATGTCTGACTTAATATTTCAATTTTGTTTTCCTTCATTTTAACCTTTTGAAAATGTCTTGCTGTGGGTGTTTTTTGATTTCTAATCTGTCCAGTTGTGTCTAGATTTAGACACACAAATCATTCATTTAATTTCTTTCCAGCCAAGGTGAACAATGTCGCTCTTGGCCATTGACATCAGTCAACCATCCCCCCCTTTCCAGAACCCCCCCCAAACATACACATACACTCATAAATATACATGCACACAGACGCACACACACACACATATATACACAGCCTCGTCCCGCCTGGTGCTTCTGTCGCGTCACATCGACCAGGGGGCTGGAACCGTGCACCTTGACCCTTAACCCCTGACCTGTGGCCTCTGTTGTCTGTCTGTGTATGGGCTTTGTGTGTATGTGTGTGTGGTTTTTTTAGGGGACGTGAAGCAGCTGCTGGTCTGGATCCAACGGAACCTGCTGAAGGAACGGCCCGAGCTCTTTGTCCAGGGAGACTCTGTGTGAGTGTGTGCCTGCACTTGACACACACTTGGATCTGTGTACAACAATATGACCTGAAATGATACGTTATGCATCACAGCAACAAAATAAATATACTGCCAAATGTGACTGTAACATTTGGTCACAACAGCTCTATTAGAACATGTGAAATGATGAAAATGAAAGTGAAGTAGATTGTGAAGCATTTTCTTTTTCCTGCAGTTCAAAACTGCTGAAATCCTCGAGGAAAAAATGTCTAGCCTTCAGGTTATGGGTTTCAATAAGATGATTACCTGTGTGCAAGTGTGTGTGTGTGTGTGTGTGTGTGTGAATGTGTGTTGTGGGACCAGGGCTCACAGCAGCCTGATAGGACTGGCTGACTTTTACAGCTGTCTTTGTGCAGGACTATTTATAGCACCACCTAAGCAATGACTGGAGAAATAGCTGGCCTACCTATAAACCGTGTACATTTGATGTGTGTGTGTGTGTATTTCATGTTGAAAGCGCACACATCATCAAGGTGTTTCTTCAATATCTTTTAAAAATGAAAACAATCTGTGTGTGATTAGTTGACTATCTTTAATTCTTTTGTTCCTTCTCACAGCAGCCCTGTTGTTTGTGTGTTCTTGCCGCATGTTTGTACTCACAGGTTCCTCTCACATTGCCCTTTCTCATTGACGTCATAGAGCATCAAGGTGGAGAGAGGCTTATTTGAACTGCTTCAGGCATTATCTCCCCACCCACAATACCTAAATAGTTTCCTCTGTGGCGTTCAGAAATTAAATACACCAACTTCTGTGAAGGAGACTGCACCCAGAGGTGTTTGTCCCCTTACCCCCATTATCCTCTTCTGAAGGGTGGGGATTTGTTTTTTAGGCTTCATCTGTACGTTATTTTTGGGCCGCCATTAATTGTCAGTGACAGTTTGTATCCCACCACGTTCCCTCTACTATTTTACTGAAGACACTTTTGTCTTGTTAAAATTTGTTAAAAAAAGAGAGATATTCAGCCCTTGTTAGCTGTAAAACAATTTTCTGAGTTTGTGATTGCTAATACATGTGCTTTATGCATATTTGCAGATCAGAGCAGTTTCAATGTGCATAGCATTAATGAGAATAACCCCAAAGTGCTTGTTTATGATCTTATATATGGGCTGTAACATGGACATAACACACACATGCAGTCACAGATACTGTTAGATGTATTATCATAAATATACCAGTGTGAGTTCTCAAACTGAATACTGGTTGTCTATTAATTTCATACTGTGAAGTGTTGACTATTTTCTCTGGGCTACATTTTGCTCCTGAAAAATATTAAGAATAAAAATATTTTTTTCAGTTCCACACTTTTAGGTGTCATCAATTATCTTTTACTGTTATTTTTGACTTTGATTACGACTGAATGACAGACTTTGCTTGCAAAGGAAAGACTAACCCAAAAAGTTAGTCTTAGCTGTAAGTGTAATAATGAGTACAAATTTAATAAGTAATAATACATATTTCTTTTGTTTTTAAATATGAATATAAAAATGTCCTGCCCATTAAATAGAGGAAGCTATTTCTATTTTGTTTAACATCATTAAAATCTTTGTTGTAGTGCTTCTTTCCTTAATTTAATTATATTTCAAAACAACTTTAATTAGTTTTTATTGGATGCAGATCGGGTTTTTTTCTATGTGTTTTTTTTTTATGTGCATCTATGGAGACATTCTGCTCTCCCGGTATATATTTTTGCACACATATATACGTGTGGTTGCGTGTGTGTGTATGCCTTTGGGAAATGTGTCTGACTCAAAACAGTGTGTTTTCCCACAGGAGACCTGGGATACTGGTGCTTATCAATGATGCAGACTGGGAGCTAATGGTGAGCTCTGGGAGCCATGTTCACTGTCAGATGGTGGAGAGAGAGATTGTGTGTGTGTGTGTGTGTGTGTGTGTGTGTGTGTGTGTGTGTGTGTTTCCAGTAGCTTGTAAAAACATGCAATACTTTTTATTTTAAGCTCTTTTAGCCTATGTTGACCGATGTTTCCATTACAGTGTTAAATGACTGGAGATCATGTCTGCCTGCATAGATCCCCAGTATTTAATTCAGAACTCTGTGTGTGTGTGTGTGGGTGCAGGTTATAGCCTCACTGAGACTGATACTGCTCATTTTCTGAGTCAATGTTTCATGTAACGTGAAAGCAGCTGCAAGACAGGTTCGTCCTTGGGGTCTCGTATCTGAACACATATTTACACGCACACACAGAGCGAACGCTTCAATTTCAATCCATTGATTCAATTACAGGACGCAACACAGGATGTAAATGAAATGAAAAGTTTGTCATTGATTGGACCCCAGTGGGAACACGGGAGCAATACTCACATTTGTATTAGCGAAGACAGACATTTCTGCTTTGACTTGTAGAGATGTGTGAGTATTGAATGTGTCGTGTGTTTTGTAAACCTCAGGGGGAGCTGGACTACCAACTACAGGACCAAGACAACGTTGTATTTATTTCCACTCTTCATGGAGGATAGCAAATGAACGATGAATACACGCAACATATCCTTCTCTGTAACAGCCTTTTCTCCACATCCTCTGCACTCTTCACTCCCCACCCACATCTCAACAACACACCACCCCATTGGTCGCTGTGGATGTGTCAGCCTGCACCGGGATTGTCTGACCGGGATCGATGTTTGGTCCACAGGAATAAGTGGAAATTCAGAGACGATTACCAAGAAAAATGTGGAAACTGTGAGACGGGAATTCTGCTTTTTTTTAAATCAAAACTGGACAGGTGTATGAATCTCTGGTCGTACTGGCCGACTCACAGGTGCGAGTGCAAATACCTGCCTTTGGTGTTTAAAACTTCACCTCCCTGCATCCTCAATTCCAGCATGAAAGACAAAAAGACCTTTTCTTAGTCTCCAATGACCTTCAGGAATATAAAATATAACGTTACACGTTGCTTAAACAATCAGCATGTCTAAGCAGTCAGTATACAAACAATTAACAATATCTTCATAAGGAAATTTTTCGGTGTTTTTTTCATTTGTCAACATCGATAATTTCTCCTATGAAGACGTTTTTAAAATCTGTTTTACAATAACATCTATTTACACCCCATAAGCGAGTTATGGATGCTTCACGTGGGGTTACAGTTGTTGACAAATAGTTAAGGAACAAAAATGTTCTTACAATGTTTACAAGTACATTATAGTGTGTTATATAATGCATAGAAAGGCTAATAGCAGGGGTTAAAATAAAGTGTTTTGTTTTTTTTGGGCCGATGTGATGTCATTTTTCTTAAAATATACTTTAATCTTCTAAATGTTATATTTTTCCTCACATAATGAAAGAAAGATTAAAAGCTTTTTTTGTAAAATAAATTGAGTTCTGACTTCTGTAATTCATTTTCAAAATACTAATTTACTACAAAGGAGCGACTATTTCCAGTTGTAAGCACAGTGGTGAAATAAGCATTAATTATACATTATGAACATTTAATTCCGATTGAATTTCTACTGCTGTTAACTATGTTATGATTATTGTATATAAAGGTTATTCCTTTCAAATTCCCCCAAACCACATCATGTGTTTCTGCACAGAATGAACTACAGCATCTCTCTCGATGCCAAAGTACAATCTTGACCGCAAAGATCCACAGCACCCTGTACAGCACGCGGAGGCCTGTCCAAACGTTTTTCTCAATTAGGATTTTACATCACGCTTCGATTATTCCTGCTGGTAGCTTATATCTGATCGATTTAAGTCCGGCTCTGTGATCACACTGCAGTTTTAGGCTTATTAGACGAGACTTGTGGGAGATTTTACCGTCCTACAGCCCCACTCAGCTGGAATATGCATAAGAGAGAGAGAGAGAGAGAGAATGTGTGTGTGTGTGTGTGGTGGTGGGTGGGGTGTACAGGACCACTGCGGGAGGTCGAGGTCTAGCCCCCGGGCTGCCCTCCCCTGAACGCCCGGGGCGGCCTAAAACCTTTTCTCGGCTGTGGAGTCCGTTTTGCAACGGGAAACCGGCCGATAAAGGCCGGCAGAAAGGAAATGCTAATGAGGCTGCGAGGGGGTTAGAGAGAGGAGAAAGTGTAGCACCGTGTCAGCGAGTGCAAGCCTGGGATACTGAGGAAACTGAGTGTGTGTGTGTGTGTGTGTGTGTGTGTGGTGGGGGGGTGATCAAAAGGTTCTGCATGTGTATATGGACTTGATGCCTCTCACAGGTCACCACGTTACATTTTTTAACCAAATGTTCACAACGTCAATGGTGGGCTGTTGTGGATTTTAAATCTTTAAACATTTTTATTTTATTGCATCTATTAATGCTCATACATAATAACTTGAGACACTTGCTTTTACATGTGAATCAGGGTTTGTACCCACATTTTATTCCCACTCTGTTTCCATTAGTGTGTATATCCGCACTCTCATTGTGCATGCAGGGTTTGGACTATTACCTGCACAGTTTATAAGCAAGTCCACATCCTGCACACTGATCCTGCTCAACAGCCAGGAGAGATGGTGACGATGGTGGTGGCGAGAGAGTCGACCTGGCCTCACCATCAGATCACCAACGTGTATCATAACGACTCTGAGCAGCTCAGGTTCTAACAGTGGGAATAAAAAGCCCCTGCTTCTCCTGTAATAAACAGCCATGTATTAAACACTATGACTAGCCATTAAAAATAAACTGCTAGATTATCTTTTTACATAGTAGCATTGATTTCATTTTTTCTTTCTATCAGACTGACAGGGTGATCATTTTTTTAAGTATTCTTCTGTTATGTACATGAAAGAAAAAAAAATATATATAGTTATCCCTAATTTTTCGATTATGTTAACCAAAGCAACTGTTGCTATATTTACTCTCCATCGTGTTTTGCACCCATAGTTTTCCTGCAGTGAATCCAGTGCTGAAACTGAAGGCATGTTAGCTGAACAAAAACACTGTAGTTAGAAATATAAAGCTCAAACAGTCTACCAAATAACTCTAAATGAGAAGTAGTTTAGCATCTATATTGCCACAATCAAAATGTAACAAGACTCGGCTTTATTTTTCATTTTTTTACCACTGAACCTGCTGATTATTTATTAATTAAAAAGAAGCTCTTTATTTAGAAAAAAATACATTCGTGTTATGCAGTTGTGTTTTGAAATGCACGTGCACAAATGTTTGCTTCAAATAAAATAAAAATGAATAAACAATTGTAATTTAGAGGCTACTGATAGTCTGTAAAATAAGTAACGAGAATCAGTAGCTGAGTCCATTTCACACAGACGCATTTCTGCAAGAGCAAACATGATGCACTGATCCCCTGGAATTAAGAAATGTTGGCCTTTAATGTTCAACAACAATAGCACACACACACACACACACACACGTTGGCTGTGTGGATGTGCTGTTGTTTTCAAGTAAATGCTGAGCCTACAAAATAAACGTTTCAAAATATATTTAAAATAAGAAAATATTTTAGGGGTAATATAGTACATTTTTTATGTTTTTACATTATTCGTTAATAACTTCAATATTTGTGTTATCTATTTATACGTTTGAATGATCAGACATTTTTCGTTTGAAAATGAATAATTATAATTATTTTAAAGCAGTAAAACTGGTTAAATAAAGAAAATAATGAAAAAAGATAAAAAGATAAAAACACCGAAAGGGCCATAAGTGTCCCACGTGATTTATCAGTGACGCTGTTTGGCTCCTGAGATTTTAGCATCAGTCATCAGGCCTCTTGTGTTCTTCTAAGCTTTTTACAGCACTATAACACATGAATATGTAACTTATAAGACTCCCCCAAAGAAGAACTAAATGCGTTTTTAAAATTGTGTTAAGTAATATATCTCTGCTTAGCATGCACTTAAGACTTTGTCTAACCTGCTCTTTATATATTAATATATTAGATGGAATTCTCTAAGAAGCTATTTTTTCCATTCAAACGTATATCTTTTGACGTTTCTTTCTATTTAATCTGCCTCGTTCATTCGTATTTATTCTCCTCGTGCATGCCTTCATGTCTCTGATGGTCCAGTTCGTATAGCTCATCTCACGTGCGTCTGTGCTGCATGCAGGCCTCACTCTGCCAGCACTCTCAACTCACCGCTTCCTAGTATTTGCCAAACACAGTCGATACATCGATGCTGCCGGTCGATGCTTGCCATTTAAAACAAACACTCTTGATTAGATCTTCGACAAAGTGTAAATACCAATCGGGCCAAACACAACGCGCATCTCGAAAAACACATTACACGAGGCAGAATAAGGTTTCCTCCACTTTATTGGCCCAGTCCCGCGTCCGTTTCATCCACACAAACGTGGTTTGTAGATCTTACCTGAAATGAGACAGTTACAAAAACAAACCGAGACTAAAGACCGTTGTGCAGCCTCCTTTGTGGTTTCGGAGGCCTATGCATTCTTGATGTGGCGTTTGGCCAAAGCCAGCAGTGATGAATGTGAGTCTGCAGCAACAGATGTCCATACACAATTCTTGGGGTTGAATTTTGAGTTGACTCAAGAATTGCGTTTGGACAATCAGTCGCTAAAGACTCTGTATATCCTCTGCCAAGATAAAAAAAAAAAAAAAAAAAGACGAAATCAAGCATTTGGTTATTTAAATCACAAAGTGTGCACGGGTCGTTATTGTATAGGCCCATGGCTGCACCTGCCACGGCTGCCTAAATGATGCCCTTTGACAGCATTGGCTGCGACTGACACTAAAACCTGTTTTCTCTCCCTTTTTTTCCTACAAGATTAGGGAGTTGCAGCACTGTGCATTATTTGTGACATCCTCGCTGCTCAGCACTGCCCCGGATTCGGCCTCTTGAAAGAAATCTCACTGTGCATTTCCAACTCTGAGCTGTTTCAGCAGAAAACTAAACCTTTAAGATGTTTTTTTTTTGCGATGAAAAGCACATTCCCTTATTCAGAAGCTGATCCCCTCTGTTGTACTGACACATAGGAAGAAAGTCTATCCTTTTTTTGTTGCATTTGTTTGATAATGCTAAGGAGGCATTGTTGCAGCCACAATCACTTTGTGACTTTTTTTTCTACTGCTGTTTGAAACAATCCTATTTCCTACTTTCTCTTATCGTTGCTGTTCTGTGTCCGTGTCTTTACACTGGTTGCTAGTTGTAAAGTTAACCACAAGTCTGTCCAGATCTCTGGGCCCTTAAGATGGCTGAATGGCCATTGCATCTTTAAGTAAAATGTCATCTCCTTTTGGTTCACCAGAGAATCGCACTTTTAAAAGTGTCTCACAGAGGGTGAACAAAAAGACAGGAATCAAACAGCTTAAGTGGACTTAATTTCAATTTAAAGTCCGAGGTGAGAACGTCGGCAAAACGCCATTTCTGCAACCTGTGTACTGTCATCGATTTAGGGAAAGACTGTTCAGTTCTGGTGCCTCAGGATGCACAATGGCTTTCCACGGATGTTGAATTAAAAAAAACAACCCTCCTATTTGAAGAAAGGCACTTGGAGCGTTTACGTTCTTTCCTCTGGTGTTTTATAGTGGTTGATGAAATAAAAAAGAATGCAAAAAAGGAAACCCCTTAGTTCCCGTTGGTGCGTCCTTGGTTCGGTTTCCACGTCGTGCGTTCTCTCGGATCTCTCTGCTCCTTCCAAAAGCCCCCCAGCGAGCAGCGGCGTTGGATGGTGGCACACAAAAAAAAGAGGCTATAAGCGGCGGGCTTCGTACACTCCAGTCAGACGCTCCTGCCTTCCTCCCGTCCTCCCTTTACCGGTCTCTCGGACTGACTGAGTGCGCTGACTGGATGGGTGTCTCTCTGCCCTCCTGGCTTTTTCTTTACGCTGCTCCAACAATAAACGCTGCGGTCGCGACACAAGGCGGAGAGAGGAGTGGAGAAGGTCCTCGCTTGGTACTGAATTTGAATAACACCACGGGGTGATAAATGTCCATTGTACTGCTTAAGTAATGAATCTCCGCTGTCCTCTGTGTCACACACACACACACACGCGCGCGCACGCACACACACGCAGCAGCTGCGATGAGGGACCAGCAGCCCCTCTTAAAGACACAACAGCCCTATTTTCTACCCCAAAAAGAGATTACAATCGCGACACTGTTTACTCTCTGACCGCACTGCATGACGTTTAGTGTTTGTCTTGTGCCCCCCTCTCTTGTGTGAGCAAACTATAGTGCAACGCTGTAACCAGGCACTTAGGGCATAAAGCGGTGCCTTCAGCGCCATGTGCAGCCATTCTGCTGCAGAAAGGGCAGCCTTACTGTAGGCCTGTGAGGCAAGCGTTGTCCCGGAGTGAGAGAAAATGAGTCGATTATA